ACACAATATCCACTCAGAGCCCACAATCTTCACCTTTCAACCACACGAGGGCGATAGAGGCCTTTGACGGTGGTTCTCCAAAGCTCCTCTGTTCTTGAAATCACTCAAGTGAAAGAGAAACAATTAAGAATAATGATAAACTCAAACAAATGAAATAGTACACAATTTAACTATGAATAGCTGATTGCATTACACAATAGACAAATAAACTTTATATGCTTGCTGTTGGCTGCACAAATGGTACAAAAATATGAAACAGCAAAGCTCTACCCATGACAGGGAATTTCTTAACCCTTTAACAAAAGTCTGAGGATTAGGCAGGATTTTCCTGAGAGTACAGTCAAAGGCAGAGGTGAAACAACTCCACAGAAAGACGGTGATACTTGTTTGGCTGTGTTGCACAAACCAATGAGAATTAGGATACAAAGAAATCCAGTAAGCTCACACCCAGAACAGTTCAATCTAATTCACCAAATTAATCAAAGTTCAAGAGTGTTATCAGTAGAAACCATAAAATACATGGAAATATGTGAACGGCATGTCGCTGCGCTGGACCACTCCCTCCATGATCAGTATTTGGCATTTGATGACTTTCTTTCTTTATCATTTTCCATACATACATTCTGTTATGTTGGCTCTTATTCAGCTGTTGGGAGGCAGACTACACCCTGACAGGTCGCCACTCTGTCGCAGGGCTAACACAGAGAGACAACCGTTACAGTCAACCTATGATTTAGAATCACCAATTAAATCAACCCCACTAACTGCATGTTTTTGGCCTGTGTGAAGGTGGCGAACCAACGCAGACACAGGAAGAACAAACTCCAGACAGAAAGGCCCCGGCCATACGGGGGATTTGAACCCAGGACCTTCTTTCTGTGAGGCAATCGAACTAACTATTGCATCTTGTTCTGTACGTTAGGAGTAAAAAACCCCATTAGGTGATCGTTGTGTTTGTAGGAGTAGCAATTTTTGTGAACTACAGATGAAGCGGTGGGATGACGGATGTGTCACGGCGTGGGCTCGTCTGTCTTTAGGCTGGTTGAGCTAAAAATTACATTTTGTGTCTTTCCTCAGATTTTTTTTGTCCATAGTGGCGAAGGCTGAGATGTCAGAGAGGACTCAGTAACACACGATCCGACTGCACTCACACCGCATTTTTATGTTCAGCCATCATGAATAAAGAGTGTCACCTGAATAAAAATGTCTCACATCCATTTTTGCTTTGTAAACAAGTGGATAGTGTGTCCCATTGTGGGATGGCATTATTGGCTTTCCTTTCATAAAGGTTGACCCAGTGTATCATATGCTCGGGGGGATAAGAAGGAAGGCAGTGGGTGAGCTTTCAGGGAATTAAACCGGTTGTTTTCACAATCAGCTGATTATTAGGCCTCGAGGTGACGGCACATGGCTATTTTTAGGGGGCTAAAGTTCCCCGTGTAGACATTTGTAACATTTCTGCACTATCAGGACACAGACAAGAAAAACAGTTTAATTTTTAATGTTTTTTTAAAGTTACATTAAAGTCATTTAATGACTCTGTGTGGTGGCTGCACATGCAGATCTACTAATAATGTCAAATAATACTGCTGCATTTTTTTAAAGGTAATGTTTTGTCACATTCAGGCCCAGAAACTCAAGCCTGGCCTCCATGAGGTATAAATGTCAAGAGTGCAATAAGAACCCTGTGATACGACCTGCAGAGGGTAAAGCCCCAGAGACAAGCTGCTGCCCATGTAACAGTACAATAAGCACATTAAGAGAGTGTTGATCCCTTTGGCTCATTTCACTCTTTATCTGTGGAAAAGAGAAGAAAGAAAAGTAAGCAAAGATTTTCTACTTTAATCTCGGCCTCGTCTTGAATCAGTGCATTTGTGTTCATAATCTATAAACAGCTGTGATTTCAGTTGTTCCTGCCCTCTGTGTCTATTAAGTCCTTCTTTGGAACTTCCAGTCCTTA